GCAGGAGGCTGACCAGATAATGATCTGCAGCTGTCATCAAACATCAGGAAGAAATCTAGCACTGGCCTAAGAGTGAGGAGGTGACTAGGCTGATTTTCAGTGTGGGAAGAGTATAGAATCTCTAATAAATTTCTTTCAAGATCAGCATACTGATCAGAGGAGAGCAACCAGGAAAAAATACAAGAAGAAATTCTCTCTTTAAGGGCTTCCATCCTTGTGATCTTGTTGTCAAAAATTCACCTGTTTCATTCCTCCCATATACACCACATAACAGCATGAGATAAAGCCTTCCAAAAGATTTTGCCTCTAGAACCCAAACTGCAAGAAGGCCACTGATTGAAGAAGCTAGCAACACTATTGGAAGGAGCCAAATAGAAACTAGAATCGAACACCAGATCAAAGAAGAATTGCCAAAGAGAACGAGCCATTTCACAATTAATTAACAGGTGGCCAATCGATTTGTCATCCTTCATACACGACACAAATATGGCGAGAAAGACAGAGAACCCTTCCACTTTCTTTGAATCATGTCACAGGTATTAATATGTTCCCAAACTGCCTCCCAAATAAAAAACAAAACTTTGAGAGGTACCACCTGAGGCCAAATTCTGTTGACCAAGAAGGCAGTAGGGGATCCCATAATAAGGTGGGTGAAGAAGGACTTGGTGGAGAAGATGCCAATAGGGGTAGAGGACCAGATACGTTTATCAGGAAGGTGTAAAGAGAGAAACACATCATTCAAGGAAGGGAGGAGGGAGGAGACTTATTGGGCTTCAAAATCTGATAGCACTCTACGAAAATTGAAATTAAAGGACAGGCCTTGGTTGTCTCTGACCAAAACATCAGAAGCCAAGATATCCAAGTTTAGGCTGTAAAGGTTAGGATAGGCAACAGACAAAGATCGAGGATCCCACCAAGTATCTATCCAGAACCTGTTACGATTACCATTGCCAATCCTGAGTCTTACTAGAGGGGAGAAGAGAGGAAGAGTTTGCATAATACCTTTCCAAGGGTTGGCGAAAGAGAAACCGTTTGTCATAGTGTTGCTGTCCCACCGGTTATTGTTTCTTCCATATTTGCTTTGTATTACGGAGGCCCAGAAGCTGTCTTGCTCCAAGGTAAAACACCATTGCCATTTCCCGAGAAGAGCAACATTTCTTTCTAACAAGTGTCCAAGACCCAAACCTCCATCCTTATTCGGTTTGCAAACTATCTCCCAGTTAACCATATGCTCCCCTTTTTTATCCCCTCCATCCCAAAGGAAGTCAGGTTGCAGCTTTTCAAGGCAAGATCTCACTTTAACAGGCACCTTAAAAATCGAGAAAAAATAAATAGGCAGGCTGGAGAGGGAGGATTTGATTAGAGTCAGTCTACCCCCTTTCGAAAGATAATTTCTTTTCCAGGAGTCCAACCTTTTTTTCACATTTTTCAATCACAGGGTCCCAAAAGTTAGTAGAATTGGGGTTCCCCCCAAAGGCAAGCCGAGGTAGCTTAGAGGCTACTCCTCAACCTTACACCCAATGATTTCTTTAAAGGTATTCAGTTTTCTTTGGGGAACATGGATGAGTACAATGCTGCTCTTGGATAAATTGGCTCTTAAACCTATGACAGACTCAAAGCATTTCGAGAATTTTCTTCAAGTTCCTAAAGTAATTAATCTCACCTTCTAGAAAGAGTATGATGTCATCAGCATAAAGCAAGTGGGAAACCTGGATCTTTTCTCTAAGTACCATAAAGCCTTTTATAAGATTACTGGCTGAAGCAGACTGAAGGAGATAATCCAGTAAATCTGCCACCAAAGTAAACAGAAGCAGGGAGAGAGGACAACCTTGTCTCAGCCCTCTAGAGGCCTTAAAAAAGCCTTGGGGGCCCCATTGGTGAGGGCTGAAAACCAAGAAGATTGAACACAGCCTTTCATCCATCTAATCCACCTCTCCCCAAATCCCTTAAGTATCTAAGTATTCTAAAGGCACTGCCAGTCCACCCTGTCGTACACCTTTTCTAGATCAATTTTGCAAACTACCCCTTCTTTTCTTTTTTGTTTTCTATCTGCTACCACTTCATTGGCAATCAGAATCCCATCCACAATTTGTCTACCTCTGGTTAAGGCACTTTGAATAAAAGCCACCACACCTTCCAATCACTTCCTTCAGCCTATTAGCTAAGGCATTGGCCAAGATTTTATACAAGCTACCAAGAAAACTGATTGGCCTAATGTCTTTGATCTCAGCCGCACCAACTTTTTTTAGGATCAACTTAATGAAAGTTGAGTTATTGCCTAGATTTAACTTGGCTGATATGTGGAAATCGGAAAAGGCCTCCACCAAATCCAGCTTGACTATATCCCAATAATCCTCATAAAAAACCAAAGAGAAACAATCAGGGCCAAGGGCCTTATGTTCATCAAGACTAAACACTGCCTCTTTAATCTCCTCTTCACTAAAATCTCTCTCAAGCCATGACTTCTTATCTTCCAAGATCTTAGAGCCAGTCTATTCTGATAAAGAAGGTCTCTGAATTCTGTCCATCAAATATAACTTCTCAAAGAAGTCAACTATTTCTTCCTTGATAATAAAAGGATCCTCTGTCTCACAGTTACCCACCACCAAACTAGAAATGAAGTTCTTCCTATTCCTAGTGTAGAGAACACTGATGTGGGCCCCACAACTATGATCCCACTGTGTTCGTAGGGTAGAAGGTGTTCTAGTCTTCCTAGGGTTAGCTATTGGTCATTTAGTTGTTTCAGTTGTTATTTATTTCAGTCTTATTTTTGCTCTATTTGTTATGTAAAGACTATGGGCAGATCTGTCCTTTCCATGTAATGAGCATAACCTATAAATATTAATTAAAGTGGCGGCGGCAGAACATTAAGCTTCTG